ACAGTCCTACTCCCTTTTAGATTGGTTGTGATGGCCCTAAAATCCTAAATTCCTAAGTGCATGGAAACTGAAAGATTATCCTAGTATTCTTTTAGAGATGTTTTTAGCCAACTTCAGTTTTGAATTTCATTCCAAAAGGCTTTGCAACTCTCATCTGGAGATTGAAGTGATGATTTTCAGTTCCAACTAGAAATACTGCTCCAGACCTCATTCTGCAGGAACTAGAAGTGATAGCAACTGCTTTTCCATTTGGCCACATGCCAGCCATTCCCCGGTCCCATGAGGTCAGCATGGCTTTTCCTAGACTCCTAGCAGCCGGAACCTACCCCTCTGGCACTAGCCTTTGCAGCAGTTAGGAATCTTCCCTCAGCTTCCATGCTTCCCAGCATACAGCTCAGTTGGAATCCACAACAAGGGAGGGAAAAGATGTCCCTGTCCCTGTAAGCCAGTTGATAATCTGCTGCCCCTTTAAAACAGTGCTCCTGAAATCCCAATTCATTCTGGTTGTTTATCAAAAAAGACCAGTTTTCCATGTTTAAAGATTGTGTCTCTAACAGATTCGCACTGTAATTCACTTCTTTTTACCTGCAGGCAATGTCCACAATCTAAATAGACAAATGTTTAAAAACAAAACAAAACCTTTCTGAACAAAATTCCCTAGTTCTAGTCTTCTCTTGCAATTTCCCAAAGCAAAGACATTATTTGGGGCCAAAGTACCTAACCTAGATGAATTCCCCCAGACAGCCATATATATGTCTGTGTGTATATTTGCTTCACAGGGTGACGATGAATGAAAAGGACAATTTCATGAATGCTGAAAACCTGGGGATCGTGTTTGGGCCCACGCTGATGAGACCCCCCGAGGACAGCACCCTCACCACCCTCCATGATATGCGGTACCAAAAGCTGATTGTGCAGATTTTAATAGAAAACGAAGATGTTTTGTTTTAATCCATCGGGGAAATGAGAGGAGAAGCCCCAGACCCACTGAAGTTGATAAGGCTACAGAAAATAAACCATTTCTTACACTTGATTGGTTTTTCAAACAAGTGACAGAATTCCCTGGCCCACAGTGGACTGCCAAGCTGGCTACTGTGTCTCATAGACACTCGCCTCCCCCGCAAGAGAACAGCAAGTGTGAGGGTGAGAGAAAGGCCACTGTCTTGGGTCTTTGCTGTGCTTTGTATGTTTGTCTGTTTTGCTGGAAGAGTGATGGATCAACCTTTAACTTATTGAAAAACACACACACAAGGTAGACTTTAAACTTCAGTCTGGTCAGTAATAAAATGGAACTTAATTCATAGAGGTACTTGATACATTTTTCACCTACAAAAAGACAATTCTGTATGTTAAATGTTAAATGAAACTTATATTGTAAAATGTATTTTTATGTTAGCTGCAAGAATGTTACTTTATTTTAGCAAAATAGAACTCAATGCAGTGCATTGGTTATTACCTGTGTACCTTGTCCTGCATTCTTGCTGTGATCCCGAGAACGTTTACCATAAATGCAGTATTATCTTGACATACCTCTGTCCTTTGCAGTGCTTTGCAATGAAATTTCATATGCCACCTATGTCTCAGCTTTCCCTAGTTGTTGCTATTAAGCACTGGCATTTTACTACCGTATGATATATATAGCAGCTGTAGGGTGATCTAAAACATCCAAGATTCTCTTTCCATAAAAATCCTGTGGCATCCCAAAGTATGCTTCAGGATTTATCATAGTCTTTATGTACCCTGTATGCATCTTCCAGACCATGCAGAATATGGTCATTTTACAGAAAATGCTTTTGGAATACTGGTTATCTCGGGGCCCTTTGAAAAGTGTCAGCACTTTTCTGCATTTCTTTTGGGGCAAGCATTCTGAATTCATTTGTTAATGGCAAGGAGTAATTTTTTTTGCCAAATGTCTGCATTTATAAAAAGTGAATTTGCAGAATAATTGTTGATTTTTTTCATTTTTGTTTTATAAACAAGATTATTTTTAAAATGAGAATGAATCAGTTTGATTTTTACAAATATGTGTTCGTCCTTGATAAGAGCAACACTGTATAGATAATTTAACATGATTTTGTTATAATGGTCCCATATTATTGATTCTGTTTATCTTAGCATGAGATTTTTACACCAAGATTTCTATATTTTGTAACATAGGAAAAACATTTTAAACATCAAAAACTGTAAATCTAAAAATTTCTCTCTTAAATTTGACATCTTTCCCTCTGATTGTCAGGGATGATTTATGTAATTTCTCACTCGTTTTGTTCTGGAGTGGCCAGAAAGCAACTGCTGTGTAACAAGAGAGAGCACTGCAGTAGGAGTGTGGCGTGATTATCCCAGAAAGTCCCAAGGGCTGTGTGGATGGACCCATTGGCACCCAAGCCTCTCTGTGCTTCTGCCTGGTCCCTGCTATTCTTGTTCTTGTTCTCTGTACAGATTGTTGTTGTAGCTTATGTAGCTTCTTGATACTGTCAAAAAAATTATCTGGAAATGGTTTTATTTTGTGAAGTGAACAATAATTTGTAATTTATGATAGTGTAAATGGAAGGAAAAGCATTAAATGTATTAAATTCTTCAGTCTACTATTTTGTAATATGGGAAAGAAAGTGGTATTGGGGAGCAAGAGGGGAATGGTCATAATGTTGGTCCCACATGGATTCAGGCAATAAAGTTTTTATCATCACCAAAACATGACACACACACCCTGCCAAGTCCCCACACCCCTGCTCCATCCTGTCCACCAGCAGGGTCTGCATGAAAATATGAACATGTCACCTGCCTTTTGCCACCCTGGTACATAACAGCCTGTGTGAGAGATGTGGCACTTATAACAAGTTGCTCTCAGCACTTGGAAGAGAGAGCAATATTTTGGAGCCAAAAGCACTTAAGTTTGAATTCCAGATGTGCTGTTAACTGCATCTGATCTTGGGAATGAGTATACTCGTCTGAAGAACGAGAATTTTCTGGTAGTAACATCTAAGATGAAATGATGGCCTGTAGAAACAGTTATGATGATGAAAGATGACATAAAAGGGGAAAGGTAGAAGGGCTGGAGATATAGTACAGGGAATAGGCTGTTTATCATGCACATGACTGACCTGGGTTTGATCCCTGGCACCCCATTGGTCCCCTGAGCAATGCCAGGAGTAAGCCCTGAGCACTTCCAGGTGTGGTCCAAAAACCAAAAAGAAAAGGGAGAGGAAAGAATGGAAGTCATAGGAATGAATAAAAAGATTTTCCCCAGATTTTATCCCAGTCTAATAAGGGAGAATACAACGGGGCCCTATAATGTGTAATGAGATTCACTTGACTCCTTTTCTCGAATGTGATTACAACACTTGATCCCTGCTATGAAGCTTTAGTCAGAAGCCTGCTCACCCATGCCTATCTCCCTTGCCATCTGGTCGCCTGACATAGCTCCACTTACCTGCCTTGAAATTCCTGCCATTGAACTCACTTTATGAGTCAGACCTTAATGGAGGCAGTGTTTCCAGAGACTCATGGTCCAACTGTCCATATGTGTGCTTTAGAGGTGGGACTGGGCTGGATGAAGATGGGAAGAGACCTGTTCTCTTAATGTGGAGACCACAAATGAACATGTGGTCTCCACAGCTCGGGGGGGGGGGGGGGGGCTGCACGGAAAGCTGCCTGGGATGGCAGAGGACTGAAGACAAGGCTGAGGGAGACTCAGTGAGGAGAGCTCAGGCACTCGGGCCGACAACAGTGCTAATGTTTGTCTAAGTTATTCTGAGTCTTACTGAAAGGCCAACTTTATCAGCTGACAAAATCCCAGGATCTGTACATCTCCAAATGTATCATTGGTTTTTTTATTTTAAAAACGGAAATATTCAAAAATATTTATCAAGGGCTGGAGAGAGACCACAGGGATTAATGTACCTGCATGTAGCAAACCCCCTTTTGATCCCCAGCACCCATGGGATGTACCATCAGGTATGGATGCCTCCTCATCTCCAGAGTGGCCTAGAAAAATCCCTAACACCACTGGGCCCATGCTGCCCCCATCCTCAGGTCCTTGCATTGAATCACTGGCCTGGTTGGTCAAGAATTTCCAGGAGGTGCCTACCTATGGCCTCCTCACACTGCTTGGGATATAATTTTATGCACCATTTTTCAATTAGACAAAATACTGAATACTTGGAAGGAAGGAAGAGACTTATCTCATTGAAAGAATTAATGAATTGTATCCCACTGGAGCATAAAGTAGCAGAAAGGATTTGGGTCACCAACATAAAGCAGAATCAAGTGCAGGCTGAATGTGAACTACTCAGGAAAGACAGACTTCGGGGTCTAAACAGAAAAGAGAAAAGAGCTGGGCCATGTTAGAAATAAGCAGGGTGTGTGTGTGTGTGTGTGTGTGTGTGTGTGTGTGTGTGTGTGTGTGTGTGTTGGAGAGTGTCATGGGGGGGTTCTTTCCCCAGAGAGCACTGCTATAAAAACTATGAGGTGACCACTCTACCTCCCAGAGATAGAATCATGCAAGATCAATATAATCCCAATAGTCCAAATGGACAGCTTTTAAGGGATGCATTAGTGATTTCTAGTAATGAGACTCATTCATCTGTCACTGTCAGTCACTATCAGTCCTCCCATTGTTCATCGATTTACTCAAGCGGGCCCAGTAATGTCTCCATTGTGAGACTTGTTACTGTGTTTGGCATATTGAATACGTCACGGAGAACTTGCAAGGCCTTGCTGTGCAGGCGAGATACTCTCTCTCAGTAGCTTGCCGAGCTCTCCAAGAGGGGCGGAGGAATTGAACCCAGGTCGGTCGGGTTGGCTGCATGCAAGGCAAATGCCCTACTGCTGTGCTATTGCTCCTCAATCAGAAAGTGAAGCACAAAAGTCTACTGCACAGGGCTCATCACAGGGCCATTAACTACCTCAACAAGAAGCCCAAATACAGACGTGTTGAAGGCAGGTGCTTTCTCTACCCCACAGTCTCAGCTTTTTTGGCATTTCTTCAGGCTTGGACTCACCTGTCATAAAAGGTGACTTCAAAGGCAAGCAGGACAATGTCTCTCCTTGTGGGTCTCATTTAACAGACCCAGAATCTTTCTCCCAATGAGGTGTCCTCTCACATCTCCTGGGCCAGATACGCATGGCATGCCTGTGGCTAAATCAGTCCTAGCAAGGGGAATGAGATTACCATGATTAGCTTGTATTTCATAGAGTGTGGTCCCTTGGCCAGCACTAGCGTGACCTGGAACTCATTAAATATGCAATTCTTCTGACCTCAAGTGCCGGAGGCTTGCAGTCTGTTTTTAACAAAGCCTCCCGTGATTTCAAAGCAGGATATATCTAAGAAGTATAGGTTTAGAGCAATCACATCTCACCTAAAGCCACTCTCCAAGGTGTTTGGATAACTGAATACAATCCAGATTTAGCTTTGCAGCTTTGGGAAGGTTCTTCGAATTTTCAGAGGATACACAGCATCTCCCTCCACTATAGCCCAAGATCGCTAAAGACCTCACCTACACAACAACATAACCAAATCTCTCCATCTCCCTCTCCCTCCTTCCCTTCCTCCTTCCCTCTCCCTTTCCCTCTCTCTGCCCCCCTTCTCTCTCTCTCTCTCTCTCTCTCTCTCTCTCCCTCTGTCTCTCTCTCTCTCTCACACACACACACACACACACACATATAAAGACCACTCCTTCAACTGTAAACTTTATGACGGTAAGAATCTGTCCTACTTAGCTCATTACTCTACCTCAGTCCATAATTGAGAGTATGCCTCCTCACGATAGGGCTCAACCTTTTCTAAATTAATGGCAGAGTTCTTCCCCAAATCCTCAAATGTCCTGACATGTTTTGATGCAATGGAGAAGGCTTATTCCAAGCAGAAGAGACTGAACCTGCATTTTGAGTCATTTGGCATTTAGACCAATATCCAAACCCTTCAGTTACTTCATGAAGCTTGCTTTCATCTAATCTTTGACACCTTTATCTTCTGCTTTGTAGGAATAATTAAGCCTCGGATTAATTCTGTCTGGAGAATTGGAAGAGCTAAGTTAAGTGTCTGGCCCAATTGTAATTTGGACAGAACGTGGCAGTTTAATTTGGTGAGGAGCTAGTACAAGGAGGACATGTGGAGGTCAGGGGCTGGATCCCAAAAATCCCCTTGATTAAATCCTGGCTGCATTCCTTTCTGATAGCAATGCAGGACTGCTACTTGACTCAAAGCACAGCGGGTAGGGCGTTCGCCTTACAAGCGGCCAACATGGCCGACCCGAGTTCGATTCCTCCGCCCCTCTCGGAGAGCCCGGCAAGCTACCGAGAGTATTCGATATGCCAGACACAGTAACAACAAAGTCTCCAATGGAGACGTTACTGGGCCCGCTCGAGCAAATCGACGATCAACGGGAGGGCCTTTACCTTTACCTTACCTTTTAAAATGAATTAACACCAGTTCTTCCATGACGTTACAGAGGCTGTCATAGGAGCCTGGGAGAGAGCCCGGAGGCCAGGAGTGCTCTCTATGCACTAGAACCCAAACTCAAACATCAGCATCATTGGGTAGGACTCTCCAGGCACTTCAGAGAACCTGGTCTCCCAAAGGGTCCAACCAGCTCCCTATTTTCAAGTCCAGCACTGAACTGCCCAGCATCACCAGGTGTGGCTCCAGACTCCCCACACACTGCTTAGAGATCTCTCAAAAAAAAAAAAAAAAAAAAAAAACAAAAACAAAAAAAATCTATGTGGAGCATTCAGCAAGATACACTTGTCTAAAGTATTAACAGCTTAGATAAAGTTTTGTGAGTTTATAAACCATCAGTATTCCCTCCTGCAGTTACTAGACACATCATCTGTTGCTGCCTGAAAGCAGTTTTAGCAGTCTACAGTAGCCCTATGACTTTGCAGCCAACCTACTGCTCTCCATGGTGCATGGTCTTCTAGAGCCCTGGGTTGGTCACAGAGCCAAACTGGTGAACATTTTGGACTCTTGGGTATCTCTCCTTGGAAAAGTGAGAATGAATGCCAGCCTGGTGATAATCCTTCACCAGGTTATCACAAGGCCAGACGGCATGGGCGCAGGTATAGGGGAGCTGTCACATACCTCACACCACTCAGCTGTGGGGCTGATGCTTCCCAGAGTTATCAGACTGAGCCCACTATCTATCCTCCTGGACCTTCAAGATTCTGCTGTGTGGCCTCACCATTCCAGGCAACTGGACCAGCCCCTCCACTTGTCATACAAATCTTCACCTCCACCCTATCCTCCGCCTATTCTCTCCTTTCCCCTGCCCTAGTCCTTTGGCACATCCTCCACAGTCACTTCACCTCTTTTCTCTCACGGCAATCACATCCACACTGCTTCCAAAAGCTACTCATTAGTGAATGACAGGAATCTTTGGATTCAGTGAGTTGCCTGTAACATCTCTTCCACACAAACCAGAGGCCCTGCTGCTCACAGCCACTGTCTGATGGAGTCTGGTGATACCATAACTCAGTGCTTAAAATCTTCACATCCCCTTTTCCCTCACATCTCCATCACATCACACCAGTTTCAAACTCCAAATATGTCAAAGGGCTTGATACCTTGACTTTCCTTCCTTTTTTCCCAGTGCTTGGAAAATGTTATATTCCATCATTATGATCTTACACATGTGCCATATATGTCATGTCTTATATAAACACATCTCATTTTACATTATTATTTTACAACTTACTATTTCTCCTCAATATGTTTGTTAAATGGGACCTATTGATACACATGGCCCTACTTCACCAACTTTAATTATCCTAAATTATTGGTCACTGGTACAGGGGGTGGTTAGATTGTTTCCTTTTTCCTACTGTAAACAGTGATTCCATGAACAATTTAAAGTGCACATTCTAACATTTAACTATTTGGCTATGCTAACTAAAGAGGAATTGCCTCCCAAAGACTGTTGACCACCAGCTTTGCTAACTGCTCCCCAAAATCCTTTACCACTTTATGCTCTGGCAGTGAGGAGTTTGCCCTTTCTTGGGATCTTTTCCAATATTTGACATTAAACAACAAATATTCTGCTAATCTGTGGAATAAACTCAGATCTTTGTGTTTTCATTTGCCATCTCTTGATTATAACATTAGGGTTGAATATTGTTTTTTATTTTGTACCTATTTGATTCCCCCCTTTATCATCTAACTATATCTATTAATATTTTGGCATTCTTTATAAATTACAAGCTATTTATCAGTTGTATGCATTGTGTATTTGTTTCACTATATTATGTGAAGATGTCCTTTATAACTTTTACTTCATAACATTTTTACAAAATTCATCCCAACCTCCAATTCTAAAAATTTTTTTTATATTTTTCGTAAAAGTACCTGGTCACAGTTTCCACACTTCTGTCGGGAGTTATGGTGTTGGTTAAGGACTATCTTTTTCTCATATGTAAAACTGTCACTGTCACTGTCACTGTCCTCCCGTTGTTCATCGATTTGCTCGAGCAGGCCCAGTAACGTCTCCATTGGAGACTTTGTTGTTACTGTGTTTGGCATATTGAATACATCACGGGTAGCTTGCCAGGCTCTGCCGCGCGGGCAAGATACTCTCGGTAGCTTGCCGGGCTCTCTGAGAGGGGCGGAGGAATTGAACTTGGGTCGGCCATGTTGGCTGCATGCAAGGCAAACGCCCTACCGCTGTGCTATCGCTCCAGCCCATGTAAAACAAGTAACCTTATTTAATTCAGTAATTATCTAGTCAATCCTTATGAACTAGAAATTTGGAATTCAATATTGCCAACAACCAATATGTGGTCATTGGGTGCTTAAAATATGACCATTCAAATCCAGATATACTGTGGGCAAAAAATACATAATGGACTTACAAGATTTAGTATCTAAAGAAAGCAAGTATGTCAATAATTTCATCACTTGATCACTTGATCACTTGACTCATCAATTTGCTTGATCAGGCACCAGTAATGTCTCCATTCATCCCTGTCACGTGCTAGTGTAGCCCAATGGCATCTGCTCACTCCAGGATCATGAAAATCCTCACACTGATCATTCAGAGTCTTGACGAAGAAGTCTGACCATCTCATAGATTGGCGGCCACACAATCTTTTGACATCCCGTGGAATCCAGTCAGTAACGGCTCTAGTTCAGTGGTCATCTCCAAATCGCACTGTGTCCAGGCCATCTGATTTTTGACACCTTGGCAAATGAGACAGCATCCCTGATTATTGACCATCGACGGAGGATGGAACTCCGGATTCTTTCTCTCATTTGAGTGAAGCACGACACTCCAGGCATAGTTCTTTTGATTCCTCTTTGGGAGACCCAAATAGTGTTCTCATCCTGTTTTCATAGGGCCGTCTCTGAGGCATATGTTAATGCAGGAAGAACAGTGGAATAAGAGATGTGCCTGGAGTCAGAGGTTATTCATCCTCTTAGATATTTCTTCGATGCTCTTGAAGACATTCCAAGCTTCTCTCTCCCTCCTGCACAACTCAGGTGCCAGGTCATTTGTCATGTTGACTTCTCAACCTAGGTACACATAACTGTTGCATTCGGACATGTTCATTCCATTGAGAACGAATGGAACATCAGGAGAAGACCATTTCTCATAAACATTGACTTCGTGAGATTCAGCACAGTCCGACCTTAACCATATTCATGGTCAAAGTCAGCCAGCATTTGTGCAGCTTGGCTAATGTTTGGTGTTATTAGAATGATGTCATCAGTGAAGCAGAGGTGGTGAGGTTGCCAACCTTCTATCTTCACTCCCATTCCTTTCCATTCCAGTTGTCACATGACATTCTTGAGGGTGGCATTGAAGAGTTTCAGTGAAATGGTATTACCCTGCGGAACCCCTCTCTTGAAATGAATGATCACTTCCATGTAGAATGGTGAGATTCTGGTACTGAATCCATAATACAGCTCATAGTGGATCCTGACGTATTGAGTTTGAATGCCCTGTTTGGCAAGAGCTTCAATGACCGCTTCAGTCTCAATGGAATCAAAGGCCTTCTTCAAATCAATGAACATTAGACAGAGTGGCATCTTGAACTCCTGAGAAACCTCAATGAGCTTGGTTTTCATGTGGATATGGTTGATCATGCTGAATCCTTTTCAGAACCTGGCTTGCTTGCATGGTTGTCCTTCATCTAGTGTTCTGCCAATCCTATACAGG